AGCTACATAAATATTATATATATTAATAATCACAAAGACTAAATGTAAAATTATATCTAACCTATGTACAAATTAAATACAGGCATTTTTACATTTTTATTGATTTCAATGGACAAACTTCTATGGTATTTGGACTTGAGGTCTAACCTAAATTTGACTCTCCCCTTAATTTAGTGTCAATGTGAGTAAATTTTTCTTCTCACTATTATAATTACATATGTAGTTAGTAACGAGGGGATCAAAGTAAATTAAATACAATAAAGAGTCCACAAGTTCTTATGAGATAATTTCTTGAAAAGTTCTGTTTCCCTTTCCATTTCAAACTTTTAATATTTTTTATGAACTGTCACTGTCACTGTCCTCCTGTTGTTCATTGATTTTCTCGAGTGGACTCAGTAATATCTCCATTGTGAGACTTGTTGTTACTGTGTTTAGCATACTGAATATAAAACATAAAAATATTTTCCACAACAAATCAGAAAACAAACAAAAATGGTTTAGTGTTTCAGTGTTAGAATTAGCTATCATCAACTCAGGATTGCAAGCAACTTAACCCATGTTAAGAAAATAACGATTCCAAGGTCAGAGTTGATGTTATGTGGGAACAACATTGTAAATGTGGTGAATCAAGTCATATTAACCATATTTTGTCAATATGATGCTATTAAAAAAGTTCGTTGAGTACAGACTGTACACAGACCACAACTATAAAAACTCCAATAAGACAACAAGAGTTGTCAAATCAAAGAAGACAGGCAACAGGCTTTAATTATGAATGACCATAAAAATTAAGGACATTATAAGAGTTGAGCATGAAAACCAGTTTAACGCAAGCTAGAGAAAGAAATCTAGCATGTTAGTAGAGCTATGAGAATACATTAAATAATTTTCTGTAGATAATGATTATTTCAAAGTTTATGGTATTTCAGACTGCATGCTCAGAAAGTATGGAGTATGAAGAAATAGCCATAAAATAAATTTTACTGGGTTGATTTATACAGTTATCTATTCTTTGAAAAAAAAATCCATTTTTTCCAAGGCTAATTTTTTCTGAGTCAGAGACTGAATTATATGCATCAATTTTATTTCTAGTCACATTTGATTATTAAAACATAAATAATTAAAATTTAATTTGGATAATTAAAACCTTAAGTAATATTAATATTTTAAAAACCTGGATTATTAGTTAAAGGGCATTTGGGTAAGCAAGGTGTTTGAAAGATCACCTTTTTAAAGATTTAGCCTTTCTGTGGCTGAAAACCCAAAATAACCACTGATTAAACAATTAGCCAACAAAAATAACTCACAAATGCTACTCCACTAGAAAGAATCAGGATTTGGGAAGTGCGTGAGATAGGCTCAGTAGTGCATATGGGGCAGGCACATTACCTAATATAGTATTAGGAGTTAACAGAATGTTATTGTGACAAACCATAAAATTATTATTGCTAATGAAGAACACAGTCATAACTAAAGGTGGTTATTTTTATATAGGAAAGGACTGGTTAACTCACACACACCAAAGATTTTGGGCAAAACAATTCAGATTTTTTCAAGGATAATTTGTCAATAGGATAACAAATACTTAAGAAGAACAATGGTGTGGGCCCTGAAGGAGAGAAAGGAGTTTGTGGACTTTGCAATAATATTTTAAGTAATGATAGGCTTAGATAATGATTCTTCTTCATCATTTATTGCCTGCGGAGTTCTCTTCCTAGTGTTGCTGAGGGATTTCCTTTGATCCAGCTGTATTTTTCTAATAAATTTATGAATTTATAAGAAGATGATCTTGATTTAGGGATATAGTTATGAAGAAAATAAAAGAGCGAATGGATCCATAAATTCTGTTATTTGAACCATACTGTACCAAAAATGCTAAGTAGCAATGAACATAAACAAATACACACAGATACATACTTGCAGGAAGATGTCTACAATATAAAGACTGAAAGTCGAGGCTAAATACAATCACTGGTTGGCAAATTTTCCCACTTTCTTGATTTAAGTTTTAGGTTTTATTCATCTTTAAAGGGAAAAATGAGACAGTGTAGGAGTGAGAGGAGGGACACACATTTTTGGTGACTTCCAATGATCAGAAGAAAAGGACCTTTAATTTATGACAACATTGGAATGATGGCTTTCTACCAACCTTAGTGTATCGACACAGGCAAGAAAATGTAAAAAAATTATGTGTGGTTTCAGTAATCAAACCCAGGGTCTTACACATGCAAGGCAGGAGATCTAGCACTGATCCATATCCCTGTCCCCTCTGACATGGTTAGGAAATAAGCAAAGGATCACTGCCAGCATTATCAAGTGATAGAAACAAAGCAACAAAGCATCAATCTCATGAGATTGGGTTTGAAACCCCTACTTCAAAGGAATCAGACTTGAGGAAGAAATTGGACAGAATGGTTTAAATCTGCATTTCTTCTACTGAAATATAGTCTAGCCATGCAACATCGTCTTCCCATTAGTGCTAAAAGTCATTCTAAGAGGCTCATTGATTCATGAGACTGAAAATTCACCATTTGGGGTCCTGTAAATTGCAGGAGGGTAGAAACTTATTCAAAGAAGAAGATAGTTTGATATCTGTCACATGTGATATTATGGGATCAATAAAATATGTGAGAGAGAGGAAAGCTGGGATGTTTAGTTCAAACTGGAGATTCTTAATAGGATATCTAAAACACAGAACCAACAAAACTGAAAATATGAGATCCCAAACACAACAGTCAAACTTAAAAATGTACCTGTCAAGGAGGCAGGCTGGGGAGTGAGAAAAAAACTGGGGATATTGGTGGAGGGAAGTTGACACGAGTACTGGGGTTGGTGTTAAAATTGTACGCCTGAAACCCAAATGAATAACTTTGTTAATCATGGTGCCTCAATAAAAATAATGAAAGTCAGAAATTCCATGAAACCTCAGAAGACTTCTGTTGTCACTAAAATATATTACAGAAATGTGGGAGGAAGTAAGTGTTGGATCAGGCAAATTAGGAGTCTAACTACAGAAGTACCACTATCATTAGTGATCTATAGCTGAGGTACTGACCATGCTTCATATCAAACCAATTGACAAACAACTTAATGAGAGACTGCTCCTAGGTCACTAGGCTGGCTGCACTAATCTCAGGTAACCTGAGGAAATCAAACAACAAGACCTCATTAAACTTTCCATGGACAGAGCAAGACCCACTCAGAGAGGAGAGATGTTCAGTGAACACAGCTTTATTGAACAACACCCTTAAAGACAGAGACTGGAGGTCAAGCTCAATGATGATAGGAGGAAATGCAAACTTGAAACGTCTATGTGGTTCACAAGGATTGTCCCAAAGCACTTAAAATGGGAAAAGGGAGGAAAAGATTATATTTTGGATTCATGGGGACCATACAACCCTGGAGGAAGTGGAACAGCACAAAGGATTATAGGAATATTCTAGAGTAGAGGAAGTCATGTTATCCATCTAGACGCATCCACCATAAGCACCGTCCGAGCTGAAATGATATAAAATGATCTTCAGTAAGGATGGGGTCTCTCTCTGCTTGGTATTTGCAGAAAGCAGAGCTTCCTAGTAAAAAGCACCACAGTGTTCTTAACATCACGCCAGATCATCATGGGACAGAGGCACAGGCCCATGTTTCTTATAAATTCTGAAGTTTATGGTTTTGCTTTAAGAAAGATGGCTGTATTTGCTGGGAATTTCTGAAAAGGAGTGCCAGAAGAGACACAACGAGGAGCTAAACTATTTCATTGTGAATCTTCTGTAGTTCAATTCTTTCCTAATTGTACTTGCTTAAATTATATGAAAGAAAAACCATGAACAATCACATTTTGTTTATTCTACTAATTACAATTATATCTTCACTTCAGATTCCTGCCAATGGGCAAACGTGGGTGCTTAAGGGAAAAAACCTGCAGTGTTTTGAGTTTCAGTGTTTTCAAATCCTTATGAAAATGTACCAGGATATTACAGTGAAACGGATGCCTTAGAAACCTGAGGGAAAATACTGATTATGTTCTTTATGTGAAACATGAGGATTTTTCCTGTGAAAGGCATTTGAAATCTTATGTTCAATGACTCACATCAATTTTTCTTACCTTGTGTCTGCTTTCCTGCAAACCTCCTACATATATTTATAAAGTAAATTTCTAGTGCTTTTCTCATGATATTTGATCAAAAGATTTGGAGAACCTCTTAACTCCTACATATTTATCATGCTAGCTTTCATCTGCTTCACTTGTTCTTTGCTCGCGTGGGAGTGGATCTTGTGCAAAAGATGACATGCATATAGACTTTCTAAAAGTTTTTATTACCCATAAAATTTCTTATGTGGAAAGTGCATTTCCAAGTCTGATCTTCCACCTCTAGCCTCAGGAAAGAACTTCAGAATTTACCAAAAAGAGGGTCCTTGTGGGCCGGGGAAATAGTACAGTGGGTCAGGGTCTTTTTGCCTTGCATGAAGCTGAGTTGTGATCCCTGTCATCTTATATGGTCACCCCAGATCCCTGCCAGGAGTGATCCCTGAGCACAATGCCAGGAGTAAGCCTTGAGTTCACTGAGTTCGCTTAGTGTGGCCCAAAGACCAAAACCAAAAAGGTTTTTTTTAAAAAAAATATATATATACAGAAATTTTATATTATGAGAGGTCAATGGACCATTTTCAGTGCTGTCAAAGTGTCTCTCTGAGACCATGCCTTTGTGCTAGTAGTAAGTTTAATCTACCCAAACTACAAATACAAGGAATATTTAAAGTTTACAGAAGAGCTATTAATCCCAAGAGCCATCCCAGGTCTCATCAAACACATCCAAAACAATGCAACTGAAAAATTGTGACAGAAATTTTCAAACTAGTCTCCAACAATAATCTTCTGGATTTGACTAGAATGAGTTTACTGAAATAAACCCAGACCTCTGATATGCAAAGCATGCACTCAAGTCCACTGAGCTATGTCTATAGTCCAGAGAGAATTCATTTTATAATGGAATTGGACTTACCTCCTGGTAATAAAAGGACTTCCTGAGGAGGGGACAGAGTGAGAGAACAAGGTGTCATTCATGCTGGTTACAGGTCTGGGAGGCCTACAAAGAACAGTGAGGACAGAAAGTTAAGTCAATGAGTTAAAAACTGTCCACCTTTCCTCAAGAAAAGGAGTGGGGGAAAGTCACAGCTCTATTTTCCCTAGCTCAGAAATAAACTTTCTGTTTTTCAATTCAATTGCTTAATTTTTCTTTGGGAGCTAGTGTTGGTCATAAGAATGAACATGATATGACTCAGGTTTTAAAATATTAACATAGCATTAAAAATTCTATAGAAATTTTTGACTTTTAATACATGGTACTGTGTCCTAAGATTTTTAAAGACCTACTATTTTAGGGGGTGAGATAAAAATAGTATGTAAATTTTCACTTAATCACTTAACTTCCCGTTAGTCGTCGATTTGCTCGAGCGGGTGCCAGTAACATCTCCATTTGTCCCTGTCGCGTGCTAGTGTAGCCCAATGGCATCTGTTCACTCCGGGAACATGAAGGGCCTCAAACCGATCGTTCACGATCTTGACGAAGAAGTCTGAGCATCTGGTAGGTGGGCGGCCACGCGGTCTTTTGACATCCCGTGGAATCCAGTCGGTAACAGCTCTAGTCCAGTGGTCGTCTTTAAATCTCATTACGTGACCAGCCCATCTGATTTTCGACACCTTGGCAAATGAGACAGTGCCCCTGATTCTTGATCGTCGACGGATGTCAGAACTCCGGATTCTTTCTCTCATTTGAGCGAAACGTGATATTCCAAGCATAGCTCTTTCAATTCTTCTTTGGGAGACCCGAATAGCGTTCTCATCTTGTTTGCATAGGGCCCAGGTCTCTGAGGCATATGTTAATGCAGGAAGAACAGTAGAATCAAAGAGATGTGCCCGGAGCCGGAGATTCTTCGTCCTCTTAGCTATTTCTTCCACGTTCTTGAAGGCGTTCCAAGCCGCTCTCTTCCTCCTGCGCAGTTCGGGTGCCAGGTCATTTGTCATGTTGAACTCTCGACCTAGGTACACATAGCTGTTGCATTCGGAGATGGTCGTTCCATTGAGAGCGAATGGGGCGTCAGGAATGAGGCTGTTTCTCATAAACATTGTCTTCCTAAGATTCAGCTGTAGTCCGACCTTTCCACACTCACGGTCAAAGTCGGCCAGCATTTGTGCCGCTTGGCTGATGTTTGGTGTTATTAAAACAATGTCATCAGCAAAGCGGAGGTGGTGTAGTTGCCGACCATCTATCTTCACTCCCATTCCTTCCCATTCCAGTCCTCGCATGATGTTCTCGAGGGTGGCACTGAAGAGTTTCGGTGAAATGGTATCACCCTGCCACACTCCTCTCTTGACATCAACGATCACTTCTTTGTAGAATGGTGATATCCTGGTAGTGAATCCGCAATACAGCTCACGGAGGATCCTGATGTATTGGGCTTGAATGCTCTGATTGGCTAGGGCTTCAATGACCACATCCGTCTCAACAGAATCAAAGGCCTTCTTTAAATCGATGAACGTTAAACAGAGCGGCATCTTGAACTCCTGAGAAACCGCAATGAGCTTGGTTATCCTGTGGATATGCGGATAAGCGGAACTCTCTGAGACCTTGGACTCCAGGCTCGGCGGACCCAGGGACAGAGCTTCTCTGCTTGCTCCCACCAACCACAGCCGTCACCACACTCCAGGACGCTTTCCGGACCCGCGTGGCAGCTCTGGCCGAGACTCACGCACGACTGAAGACCCACAGAACAAGATAAGCGGAACTCTCTGAGACCTTGGACTCCAGGCTCGGCGGACCCAGGGACAGAGCTTCTCAACTTGCTCCCACCAACCACAGGTGACAAAGGGATTCTAATCAGGAGCCCCACCCTACCCTGCCCTGTCTGCTTCCATCAACCACCCAGGGATCGAATTGTGCACAGGAGACCCACCCTACCCAGATAAATACCCCACTGGCAGACTTCCACTATCGACACTACTTCCACTACCCAGCTGTCGCCACACTCCAGGACACTTTCTGGACCCGCGCGGCCGCTTCTTCCAGAATTGTCGTACCATATTTGATAGGGTTCAAATATGGTAACACCTACAAGGGTGATTAGAGATCGCCCCAAAAGCCTCTATTCGTCTCGGAAAGACTGGCAAGCTACCGAGAGTATTCCGCCCGCACGGAAGAGCCTGGCAAGCTATCCGTTGTGTATTCGATATGCCAAAACCAGTAACTACAACTGGTCTCATTCACCTGACACTGAAGGCTTCACCGACATGGCAGCACTGAGAAGGATGAGAAAGGAGAGGCCGACAAAAATCTCAAGGCCGACCTAGGCTGCCACAACGAAGGAAGACAAAAATGATCGTCTGTACTTTCAATGCACTTACACTAGCATTAGATGCATCCATCAAGGACCTGATGGTACAAGTGCGAATGATCAAGTACGACATCATTGGTCTGACCGAGACAAGAAGGCACGAATCTCACCATGCCGTTTTCAACACTGGAGAAGAATTGTTCCTCGGAACATGCGATAAAAGAGGTGTTGGAGGCGTCGGTGTCCTTGTCAACACAAACTTGGCCAAGAGCATTGATTCATTCGAATGCCTAACAACCCAAATCGGACATTTACATTTGAGTAGATGTTGCTCACTGCCTGCAGTTTCTATCTTCATTGTCTACGCACCAACATCTCATTATGATGAAAGAGAAATTGAGAAGTTCTACATGGAGCTAGAGAAGTACTATAAAGAAGACCACACCTTCTACAAGATCATTGTGGGTGATTTTAATGCCAAGATGGGACCGAGAAGATCAGCTGAAGAACTTCACATCGGGACCCATGGCCTAGAATGGAACGAACAGGGTGAGAGACCGTCCGAGTTCATCATGTAGACCAAGACCATTCATGGTAACTCACAGTTCCAGAAGGCAGAATCTAAACGTTGGACATGGGAGTCTCCCGGTGGACGTTTCCACAACGAAATAGACCACATCATATTCAATCGATGGTTTTGCCTGACTGATGTCGCTGTTGTCCCAAAATTTCGAACGGGATTGGACCACCATCTCCTTCGTGCAAAATTCTACTTCACAGAGCGAGGAGAAAGGGCTGCAAAGTTCTAAAAGAGAACTCCCAGAATGACCACCAACTGGGAACTCTTTGGTACTATTGCGGCAACTTGAGAAGATGCCATTGTTGACAACATTGACGAGGAATATGATCGACTGGTTCAGCACCTCCATGAATGTGCGAGGAACGCCAAGAGAGAGATAGCCACAAAAAATCGCCTATCTTTGAAAACTCTTGAGCTAATTCGCCAGCGTGGTTTGGCGCATGCCTCAGGCAACCGCAAGCTAATGTCCGAGCTCGCAAAGCAGTGCAGAGATGCTATCAAGGAAGACCTCAAAGAGAGAAGAGCAGAAGTACTGGTAGATGCGGCAGAAGCTGGGAAAAGTATTCGTAACGGCCGACTGTCCTTCGCCAACTACAAGACCAAGATGACTGCCCTCCGATGTCCTGATGGATCCATCACATCCTCCAGAACGGCAATGGAGAAGATTATCCATGACTTCTACTCAAATCTCTTCGATAGCCATGTCCACTTGTCGACATACCAAATTCCACAGGATGGATATGTCGTTCCCAACCTTCTCCCTTCCAAAATCCGACACGCCATCTCATCGGTAAAGAAACAAACAGCACCCAGCCCAGACAAGGTCAGACCTGAACACCTGAAAAACCTGCCATTAGTACTCATCAATACACTGGCTCGGCTCTTCACTTGCTACCTGTCTGAATGCAAGGTTCCGTCCCAATGGAAAACCAGCAGGACCATACTACTGTTCAAGAAGGGAGACATCCATGACATTGGCAACTATTGCCCGATCTGCCTATTGTCTGTCATCTACAAGTTGTTCACTCGAGTCATCCTAAATAGGATTGGCAGAACACTAGATGAAGGACAACCATGCGAGCAAGCAGGGTTCCGCAAAGGATTCAGCACCATCTACCATATCCACACGATAACCAAGCTCATTGAGGTTTCTCAGGAGTTCATGATGTAAATTTTCATTCACTATAAATATGAAACCCTGTTTTCAAAGCTTTGATATAAGATTTTTCTGTGCTATCTCTTTGATATGAGACTTGTTTAAAACAATTTTTTGTGAACATCTTTCCTTTATGTGAAGGATGCTAAACTTTATGGGTCTTCTGTGAAATTTGATGCTAGGGGGCTAGATTCAGAATGATGAACAAAATGATATATTTTCAATGAGACTTCTCAAAAAGTTGAAAATACTAAAACTGAACAGCATGCTTGTTTTTATTTTGTATTTTTATAAAATCTTCCTTTCTTTGACTCTATCTCTAAGAAATTAAAGGGGATCCAGAATGTTTTTTAACTGGTCTGCCAAGTTTACTGAACTTTGTTCCTGAAAAATTTAAATTCCTGTTTCTTTTTTTTTGGGGGGGGGTGCTTTTTGGAGTCACAGCCAGCATTGCTCAGGGGTTACTCCTGGCTCTGCACTCAGTAGTTACTCCTGGGATTACTTGGGAGACCTTATGAAATGCTGGGAAACAAACCTGGGTGGAAGGCCCTAACTGCTGTACTATTGCTTCAGCTCCCCAAATTGCTGTTTTTAGTAAATGTTTTAAGTTCATCATGGTCCTGTTGAATTTTGGACCCTAAATGTGTAACTTGACATTGCATGGTGATTTTCAAAGGGACTAAATATTCTATTGTGTTTTGAAATCAAACAACAGATTATCTAATAAATAAGTTACATTGGGATTTTAAACACATTTATACTTATAAAAATAAATAGTTCCACAGATAAAAACAAAACTTTGTGCAAAGTGTTCATTCTAGACACGAGAATTCCTCTTGTGTTTAGCTTAAGGAAGAATTTGTTGTAAACTAATTTCATACCACTCAGTTATTTGTTTCTCATAATCACTTAAAGTTAGGACAATGTCTATAGGAGTACCATGGGAACTGCTGAACTACTTACCAAGTATCACTTTAGGCAGCAAAAAATGGAACAGAATACAGACTTAATCATGGTCATAGTTACAATCAGTACAATAATTAAGAATATATGCCCAAATACCAAAATGTCACCACCTAATAATCTTTAGCTAAAATTGACAACTCCATGAACAACTTGTTTAAATTAAAAAAAATCCCCTCCCCAACCTGATAACCAAACTACATGAATATATGTGCAAAGCAATTGCATTTGAAGGAAGAAACAAGTAGAGAAAAATGCCTCAAGCTAACTATTGAAAAAATGCTTTTGAAACACTGGCCATTTTGCACCTAGAATTTCTTACTTTTCATTTCAATAGTGAGAAACACTTTGTACAACCTGCATTCTAAAATTAAGACCGTGGGGCCAGGGAAATAGCTCAAAGGACTAAAGCACTTGTGGGTGCCCCTGGCACATTGTGACCCTTCAGACAATCCTTTATCAAAACTCTGATGTGCCTCAGAACTGCAAGGCCTGAGAAGTGTTGCATTTTTCCGGGCCAGAGCACTGCACCAGCTCACTTGTGCAACCATGCTGAATATCTCTAGGTGTGGTCTCAGGGATCTGAGTACTGCCTGGGAGGGCCTGGGGGAGAATAAAGACCTTTACCCTGAAAAAATATATTATGAGAGTGTAGATCAGTGTTTTGATTCTGAAATATTTTGACTTTGAACTAATTTTGAAAATATAATAAAATATATAAAACTTTTCTCAGGTACATGGTATCTTAAATTTTAAAGGGATTCTGAAACTCTTTGTGGAACCCAAACTGGGCAGATACTGCCTCTTAGTCCAGTGAGAAACAACATGCTGTATCCTATTGCTACTATAGGCTAAATCATTATTTTTTACTCATTAGAAGGGAGAAGCATGCTGAAAGTAGACTATAGACCAAACATGATTGCCACTCAATGCCTCTCTTACAAACTACAGAACCCAAGAGAGAGAGAGAGAGAGAGAGAGAGAGAGAGAGAGAGAGAGAGAGAGAGAGAGAGAGCAAAAGGGAATGCCCTGCCACAGAGGCAGGGTTGATGGGGGGAATTGGGGGTGGGAGGGATGCTGGGACCTGTGATGGTGGAGGATGGGCGCTGGTGGAGGGATGGGTACTTGATCATTGTATAACTGAAACCCAAGCACAAAAATTTGTAAGTCTATAACAGTACATCGTGGTGTTTCACTAATTAAAATAAAATAAAAGTTCATATAGAAAAAAAAGAAATAACTTGCTAGCCCCCCCTTCCCCTCCCCGTCCACACACACACCCACAGACAAAGATCTGAACATTGAGTACAAAGTCCTGTGCTGGGAACCTCTGCAGTGTGACAGTCACTGACATGGCCTCATCTCCTAGTTCTGTCTCAGAATTGGGGCAGTGGTTTCCTTCCATTTCATTGCAAAGCTCTCTGGGCCATCCCATTCATAGCCCCTCTCTACCAGATGCCACAGCTTGAATTGAATGTGGTTGTATTGGTTAGGTTCTTACTGCCTTAGAGAGCAGCTTAAAAAAGCAGCATAGAATTCTCTCAAGTAGTTTCGTTCACTTATTAGTGACTCAGTGTTCTTTGGCTCTGGGTAGGGAAGTTGGAAACTTAAAGAAGTCATATGAGGTCACTTCGGCAAGCCGTTGGTCCTTTGGGACACTCAGATTTATTTTTCCTTGGTTTATTTTAAGGTTAATATTTGGGGGACGGGGGAAAGTTCCAAAAATAAGATAAGCACATTCTACAGAATCGGTTTACATTAGTTATTTTTTGGGTTTTGGATTTTGGTTTGGGGGGCCACACCCAAGTGTAATTGGGATTACTTCTGGTTCTGTGCTCAGGGATCACTCCTGTTGGAGCTTGGGAGACCAGGTATGATACCAAGAATCGAACCTTGGTGTGTAGCATGCAACACTATCTCTCTAGTTCCCTACATTATTCCCTTGGGGGTGTAGTTCAGCACCAATAGGGCTCAGTTTAGCATCAACAGCGGGATTCTTAAGTATATATGGTAGAGAATTCTAAAAGCAACACTGGAGGAAACTGATGCTTTATATGCTTTATATATATACATACATATATGCTTTATGTATAAAAGGAATATTTATACAAAGCACACTTTTCGGGGGCAAGGAGAAAGGGATCCTCTTAAGCTACGTTCACTGGGACCACTCACAGCAATTCATGGTTCAGTGCTAGGGCCAGAGGATGTGGTGCTGTTTGGATCCTCCCAGGGCCACGGACCATGGGGTCTTACACATTCAAGGCATTGTACTCTCCCACTGAATTATATCTCCAAGCCCGCAGTGTTCAATGTTCATTTTTGGAGGATGTGCTGAATTTTCCCACCAATCCCTCTCTTCAACCTCCCCTTCTACAAACCATGATTCTTTTTAAGTTACAGAGGTTGAGATCAAACAGCAGGGCATAGAAGAACAATGTGCTTTACCCATCACCAGCGTAATACTCCACTAATATCTCCATTTTATAAGTATGTTTTCTTATGTTTTCCACCCAGTTGATTTATATAACTTGTACCACACCCTCCAATGAATCCTGGCAAAAGTATTATATACCTACCACTAGAGAGAAAAAATTATGACATGGCTTTCAGTCTTTTGAATTAAAATGTTGTCCTTGTCAAATGATATGAAATTGCCTTTGTACAGATCTGGAAATGTATCTCTGAAAAAAATAAAATAGCTCTCATTTGGAAGGCAGAGTAACTCACACAATGTGGGCCAGGTTGAGCGGTTTCTCAGGCTGGTCAGGGAACATGGGGTGCAAAGGTTCACGGCTAGAAGCACAGCTTAGAGACTTGCTTAATGCATTCGTTAACTTCTTAGCAGGTGATTTCTGAAAAGAAGAAGAAAATAGATGTGAGTAGGAACAGGGCCTCCATACTGCCCAGAATCTGGCTTCTCGGTGTCTACCCACAAAACACAAAAACATTCATTTGAAATGATATATGCACTGAATATATATATATATATATTTATTTATTTATTCACTACATTAGTACAATGGATAGCATACGGAATTAATCTAGGTGTCTAATGACAGATGAGTGGATAATGAAGGCATGGTCTATAGACACAATGGAACATTATGCAGTCCCAAGGAATGATGAAGTCATTAAAGTTGCAGCAACTTGGATGGGACTGGAGGATATCATGTAAAGTGAAATAAATCAGAAGGAAAAGGTCAAACACCAAATGATGTCGCTATCTGTTGGTATATAAAATAACATGGCAAAAGAACACAAGATACCAAAGTGATGCCAACCCTTGATCCTAGATCAAAGTAATAAAAAGCATGTAAGAATAGAAGTGGAGGAAGGAAGTAAGAAGAAACAGATACAATCCAATAGGGGACAGGATCATGGGATCCTGGGCACCATTGATGGTGTAGAGGTCACTGTCACTGTCCTCCCATTGATCCTCGATTGCTCAAGCGGGCACCAGTATAACGTCTCTATTGTGAGACTTGTTGTTAATGTTTTTGGCATATTGAATATGCCATGGGGAGCTTGACAGGCTCTGTTGTGCAGGCGAGATACTCTTGGTAGCTTGCCAGGCTCTCAGAGAGGGACGGAGGAATCGAACCCGGGTCAGCTGCATGCAAGGCAAACACCCTACCCGTTGTGCTATCGCTCCAGTCCTTAGAAAAATATTGTTCTATAATAATTAAAATCTACAAAACACATTTCCAATAGTTGATATAAACTAAGACTAACGCTCCCCATGAGTTTAACTATTTTAAAGAAATGTGAAGTAGCTAGAACTTAAAATCAACATTGCCAACTGACAGACCACTTCAAGATGTCCAGCTCATGTTTCCAGATGGAAATATGGTGGTGGGAAGGTGTAATGTTGGTGGGATCGGTGTTAGAATATTAAATGTAGTCAAATATTGTGGACAACTTTTATGTTTATATTTAAACCACAGAGCCATCAATATTGAAGTAAGAGACGCAAGCTATAATAATTAGTGTTGAAAATGTGTCTGTCAAGAAGGAGGGTGTGTGTGTGTAGGGAAAGGTAATCCAGGGACATTGGTGAAGGAAAGTTAATAATGGTGGTGGTGCTGATGTTGGTACATTGTGTGCCTGAAAATCTAGCACATCACAAATATAAATCATAGTGTCTAAATAAAAAAAATTTTAAAATACAAAAAAAGAATAAAAAGGAAAAAAGAAAGTAGAAGTGATAGCAATTAACATTTTATCAGGTGAAGTGATATTCATGCATTTATTCTTTATTTCATAACATAATTGATGACTCTCTTAATCAGACAGTTTGTTCAATGATGGGAGTGCTGGAACAACCCACCAGGACCTGCCTTCTGCTGCTTCCTGTCAGCAAGTGCTGGGATAATGGACATAGTCATTGTGAATAGCATAGATGAGCTGGGACTTAATGGGCCAGTGGGAGTCCTCCTGACAAAAATTCTGGGACTTCGGAAAGTAATTCTAGATGAAGGAAACTGACTGCAAAGGGAAGAGAGGTGAGTAGGAGGGAGACAATTTAAATTTTTATCTGCCACTTCAAAGATTCAGATCTTTCTCTTACATACAAAGGAAGACAATGAAGAGTTTAAATCAGAGTGACAGGTTCAAACCTGGTTCTAGAAGGATTGTTCCTCCTAAAGAACAAAAAATGGCTTGGGAGGGGATAGGAGTGGAATAAAGGAGATGAGAAGGGTCTGTAGGAACCTAGGGGCAAGATATGTTTGCACACCTTAGTGTGGCAGAATACATCCAATTAAAAGCAGAGTGAAATTTCAATATGAGTTCTTGGAATTAAAAATTCATGCTCTTTCCAAAGCATCACGCACCTTTTTCATTTAGACTAGTGGAATGTTTTTTGAAATTGTACAACCAAATTTATCAAAGAATAAAATCTATCGGTTACTATGGGCTTGTCAAGCCCGTGTTCTCCCTTGAAGATATCTTGCTTACTTCTCTCTTTCCACTCTAGAAAAACCAGTGTTCCCCCGTGGAAATATACTTTTACTTTCTTTCCCCTCACATCTTTCTAAATTAGTCTCAATAAAAACTTTCTTGCTTTACCACAAAAACTTAAAAAAAATAAGAATCTATCAATTATTATAAATTTGTGCCTAAGTTTTTCTTTTTATGTGGTCTTTTATAGTTTGTTCCTTTGTTTTAAACTTAGAGCCTAGTCTATAACTGGCAATATAATAAAGTGAACTGTGTTCTCATTTAAAAGTGAAGGGATCAGGGAATTAGCTTAAATGGCACAGGCCTTGCATGCTTGAGGTCTCAAGTTAGATTCCTGGCACTGCTTCCTCCACCCCGAACCCCGTGCCTACTGCCAGCACCACCAGGTAGCTCTGGTGGCCCCCAAGAGCTGCCCCCTAAAAAGTTAAGAAATATTTATATTGTTCAAGAAGTTCTTGGGATTTTTCTAGGACACATACTATTGAGGATGCTTCAAAGACCAGCCACCATCACTCTTCACTCTGTTAACGCTAAGGACCTTACAATCCTATAGCTAAAGACATCAATCTGCCATAAAATTTTAGAACCTACAACCCCAAAGATTCCTTATCTGATATTACACAAAACAAGTATTCAAAATGATTAGTCTTGGGACAAAACAAGTTTTAAAACTGGTAATATGTTGACAACAAGAAAAGAGAATTTTCATTAATGTCTACACTTCATAATCTGTATCATTATATCCATTCTCAGCTCAGGATATAAACCATAGTGAGAGGTGGCATATGGAGTGGCAAGAAGAACTCTGTGATGAGCTATTACTTGAGGTATCACAGGTGCTGAAAAGTTGATATGTTTACATGGGACATTCAATCCCACGAGGAACTTATAGAAAGAACATCTTGATTAAAATGCACAGTATGAAAAAAGGAACAAGTCACCTACAAAGTAAAAACTGTAGGTTAAAAAAGATAAAAACAGGAAACAATTCCATTTTTCAGTGATACAACTGTTCTAAGTTAGGTGGGCAGGGATAATAGTGCATCATCACATAAAAATATCAACCAATCTATGAAGTAGTAGTTTCACAAAAGAATAAGAGCAACACCATTAGAATTGACGTTTTAGTTTTAATGGGAGAGATTAGAAAACCACAAGACATTCGATCAAGTAGAGGACCACATCTTGCTCCAAGAGGTGGATTAATAGACTTGCCTAGAAGACAGTCCTGTATTTGGTCACTGAAATGGTGAAGGAAGAAAAGGAAGGGTGAAGGAAAGAGCTCTGTTAGTAGTTTGGCTAAAAGACAGTCCAGATGATGTACTTTGTTAAGTACCTCTGTATATTGTAGACAAGGTTCACTGATTACTTTGCAACATCTAAGCTTTCAGATGTCCTTAAGTGACAATGTATGATAAAAAGAACTAGTGAATTCACCCAATCTGCATATATCTCTGCTATGAATGACAGAAAGAGAGAGTCTTAGATAAAAACTTATAGAGCCATATCTGAGTCATAAAACATCAAGCCTTGTTTCTGCAGTTGGCAATGGAGGGACAGAAGGACTTGTGGAGGAAGAGGCTGCTCCAGGTCATGTTGGATGTTGCTGGTTGGTGTGTGTGAGTCTCTGGTTGCATGTAGGAACACAGTGTAGTTACTTCAGTAGCACTTGGCCTACTTGCTAACATTTTACTAGTATGGATTGGATAATGAATTCTCTTAGAAGTTGACACTTTGTTACTGAGTTGCTTTGTCTCATTTTTCACTTGTGCATTACAGGGAATGCAGCATTTTAATTGTAACCATACAAATATATTTATCTAGAGATCTTGCTGCCATTTTTGTCTTTTAAGAAATTTTCATTGCCAAAAATGGCTGGATTAAATTTTTTCCATCCAGATTTGTATGTTCCTGTTTACCAAATACTTGTATAATTTTGGTACTTTGAAATAGTAATTATTCATGGTAAATAAATAAGCATAAATGTGTTTATGATCTTAATAAAATAACGGATGTTTAGTTCTGTAGGTAACAGGACCTAGAAGTACATGTCAGACGTTACTGTGTTGTAATTGTATATGACTATGTTCTCTGCTTTTTGACTTTTTTACCCCCATTTTCTATTAAACACATGTTAACTTCAAAAAACTTTTCTAAAAAACAAACTTTAAAAACCTGTTTAGAAAAAGAAAATAGAAAACCATAAATCATTTGAACAGCCAGCTCATGGAGAGTCTCAAATTCCTCCCATAGATGCAGAGCCACACACTCTAGATATCTCTTAAAAGGACAGTTCCAGGTCAATGTTAGCCAGGTATCCAGACATTGTTCATAAAAATATGATCTGCTAATATAACAAGTACCTCTCTATACTGCAAAAAAGTATCAGACAGCCTCTGTAAGCCCTCCCTGTTACATGTCTTCCCTCTATGGTCCAGTTATGCATTTGAGAGAATGTCACAGTCTAAGAAAAGAAAGTAACAATAATGTCTAAGCAATTCTCAGCCTCTCAAAAAGCAAAACAAAACTTGGGAGGAAGAAACCTAACATCCTGAAAGTCAGATTACATTAGAAAAAGTGCTTGATATTTATTTATTTGTTCGGTTGTTTGGGTTTTGGGACATACTTGGGAGTCCTCAGGGCTTACTCTTGGCTCTGTACATAGGATCATTCCTTGCTCAGGGGACCATGTGTGGTCACACCAGGTTGGCTGTGTGCTAGACAAGTGCCTTACCCACTATACTATCTCTTTAGCCCCTAAAATTTAGCTGTTACCTACTCATATAGAAATTACTCATATTCTAAGACGTAATACAGATTGAGTCTTCCTTTATTTTAAGTCTTAGGTAGTTAAGTTGGGTTCACATAAGGTAAGTAAGAGTTTCTGGTAAGACCAGGTGGAAGGGGAGGGAGAGGAAGGAAGTCATGGTGAAGTTTTAGGGAAATTTGCCCCTCACTCTGCGAGGTCACCAGTCTGGATGACCCCTAGTACCAAGGATGATTCACACACTCACACATCAAGTATTGCCTGGAGCTTGCCTTACCCATGAGGTGTACTCCTTCATTTGGTGCTGGTTGCTATGGGAACCGCCGGCATGGCCCCTCCAGAAGCAATCCTGACAGAGCTGGTAATTGTGACACTGCTGGCATCGGTAGCGAAATCCCATCATACTTTCGCTGTGGCAGTAGGAACATTCAACTGGATGGAAAACTGGCGTGAGGGAGGGTTGTAAATGGAAATAAGAAAACAAAATATGAACGAGAATAAGGAAAAATCCAACCTTACAGCAAATGTACTTTCCTGCTGTGTGCCATGGTTTCAGATCAGTTTCAGCAGAGAAGCTTTATGGTGATGCGTGAAATCCCATGACATTTGTCAGGCATGTATGTACAGGCAGAAGACATAAAATAGGACAGAGGATAGGTATTCTTAAACAACAAAACTTTTATTTGCTCTATTCCCATCTCTTACCCTGTAAGAATATAATGACCAAAACTAAATCTTTTTTGTAAAGCTACTCTCTGTCTCAGGAAACCAGCGGCATTCACTGAAGGACTCAGAAGCACATTGGATAAACACATGAACAGTTCAGTAGGCAAAGAACAAGCAGTAGAGAAGTGAAAAGTGGAAGGAGGTAAAAGAAAGGGGAGTAGAAAAATTGAGCAAGTTACATATGAAAGAAAAAAGGATCACTAATGGGTTTCTGCTAGCACCAAAGCCTCCAGCTAACAGATTTTTTCATTCCTGTGAAGCAAGTGGATTGACCCCAAAGACATGTATAAGTGATCCGAATATGGTTCTATAGTAGTAGGTAGTTCAAGGGATATGTAACTTCTTTTTTTTAAAATAAGGAATCTGAATTAGAAAGCAGGAATGTAAAACATTTGATATCCAAAGCCAGCCAATGATTAAATCTAAGTAATTATCAAATTACTATAAGGTGAGGATATTAAAAAACAACTGTTAAAAAAAACAACCGTTAGTAAATCTTTCTGATAAAGTTGTCTTCTGGACGATCAGTCAAGGAAAATAAGGTAATAATTTTTAAAAGGTAAGAAATTAATTGTAGGCACAAAACCCTAACCAGTTCTGGATGCACTGTTACCTGAATAAGTACCATATCCTCCCTTTTGTGGCTCTCAGGAAAGGATGGGGGCGGGGGGTGGGGGTTAGACTTCAGTCTAGGAACAACTGTTCTGGGACAGGATCTAAGAAACTGATCTTCAGCAGAGGAAGAATGGAATGGCAACTTCATGACTGGAAAATGACTAGCCTGTGAGCAGTGGCCATGAAGGTTTCCTGCATGGTCCAGAATTTGGCTGCTTTTTTGCTTCTGCAAATTTGTATAAAAATTGTTTATTATTGGTAGTGATTATAGAGATGCTAGCAGGCTTGTTCCTTAAGTGTTCTTAAGCAAAAGAGAAGAAATGGATATCTTCTAGTTAAAGAAGATTATAAAGACTGGTGCTTGCAATTCTAAATGGGAACTGAAATTAAGCTACCTTTAACCCCCATGAATATTTAAGAACAAGTGTAAAGAAGTTAAGCTTCTAGTAAGAGATGCAGCATAAATAATTTTCTAATTAAGGTCAAGAAATATCAGAACTAAATTAAATAATAAATCTAAAATTAAATGGAGATACTGAATTGCTCCATGTTTAAATTTCCTAAAATCTTGTTCTGAACTCTGTTTTATATTTAATTTGAGTATGCCAATGGCAATTTCTTCCATTCCAGGAATCTGGCTTTTATTTTACAAGCATGTTATGAAACTTTCATTAATCTTATCTTTTACAGAATTGCATCCACTACATGCTAAGGATTTAAAATCTAGCCAGGTTCTATCACCTCATTCTTTCCTATATCTTTTACCATACCCCATGTGCCTAAGAGGAAACAGTCAATACTATATATACCAATATCAGAAATTCAGACAGAAAACACTTATTAGGAAATATCACATTCCCTATTGAGATTCTTCTATTGTACTAAGTTATAAAGTTACCCCTGACTTGTATCTGAGACATACAGAATGAGATTCAGTGAGTCTGACTTACTCTTGGTTTTGCAGAGTGCCTCTAAATAACCAGGGAGACTCAGAACTAAACCAAACTCAGGACTAATAATAGACTTCCCTAAAATAGTGACCTTGGCTTACAAACTATAGACTTTATAGCTTGATTCGAATAACTTATGATTGGGAGCAAAATTAGTCTTTGCTCAGTAGTAACTACTTACCATTTTCTACATTTGCCAGTCGATGGAGAAGGGGCAGCCAAACCAGACACTGCGGGGGAGGATCTGACATGAGCGTGTCCAAGAAACCGTTTAACGTCACTTTTTTCTGCAATAATAAACACACACACAAAACATATTTATGTCAAAGAAGACTCTTAAATCAACCTGATTTGGAAATATGTGAGATTTAAGAACAAGGCATTCAGTTAACCTTTAATATATGAAGAAGTAAACTTGGAAACTTTGATCCTATTTCATATGGAAACAAAGACAGAATTGGATGCTCTCCAAGGTAGTGGAGTCTGTTTCAGTACAAGGAGAAAAACCAATTCTCAGAGCTGTACTTACATTGATTGATTTTTAGTCAGTTTAGAGATTTTATTTTCAAGTGTCTAACTTAAACCTCATTTTTACTCCAGGTGCAAGATATAACATAGAAAAATCTCCCTCCCTCCCTCCTTCCCTCCCTCCCTCCCCTCCTCTCTCTCTCTCTCTCTTTCTTTCTCTTTCTTTCTTTCTCTCTTTCTTTCTTTCTTTCTTTCTTTCTTTCTTTCTTTCTTTCTTTCTTTCGTCATTAGATTCTTCAATCGTTTTTTAAATTGAATTACAGTGATAAACACATTTACAAAGTTGTTCATGATCGAATTTCAGTCATGAAATGTTACAACACTTGTCCCTTCACCAGTGTACTTTTCCCACCACTGATGGTCCCCATTTCCTTCCTGCCTCCCCCTCTGGCCCAGACTCACTCTCTCTCTCTCTCTCTCTCTCTCTCTCTCTCTCTCTCTCTCTCTCTTATTCCAGGACTTATGAAAACCATCTTTCTTATATTTTCCCAAATATTTATTTTGAACTAATAATCTTGCTTGAAAATTTATCCCTAAGTTGTTGAAATTTATTTCTAAATAATATTTTGTTTCAGCAAATTCACAAGCAAATACATCTTCATATTCTGTATCTTAATGTTCAGGCTGTCTTCACATTCCTTTATTTTATTGAATCACTGTGAGATACACAGTTACAAAGCAGTTAATGGTAGGGCTTTAATCATACAATGTTCCAACACACATCCATCCACCAGTGTATATTTCCCATCAAAAGTGTCCCCAGTTTCCCTCCTGCCATGAAAAAATTAGGAAGAGATATTCTCCACTAATGCTTCTTCAAGAGTGTGATATACTGCAATACACCCCATCCATCAATATTCTAAATTTGTAGATTCACATGTAAACTTTCTCAATGTACCTCTAGTTTTGGGATAATGTAAATGGTTTACTCTGCAGGATTAGGAGGGAAACCCAGGAGTAGGGCATGAACATAGAATATTCTAAATTATACTAAATTCTCTTTATCCTTTTTGTGTTTCCTCTTGTGTACCTACTTCTGTATCCTTCTATCCTGGTCTGTTCTGATATAAAAAAAAATGCCTTTTTATCTCTTTCTTTAAAAAAGTAGCAAAGTAGGGGCTGGAGCAATAGCATAGAGGGTAGGGCGTTTGCCTTGCATGCGGCCAACCCGGGTTCGATTCCCAGCATCCCATATGGTCCCCTGAGCACCACCAGGGGTAATTCCTGAGTACAGAGCCAGGAGTAACCCCTGTGCATCACCAGGTGTGACCCAAAAAAAGCCAAAAAAAAGTAGCAAAGTAGAAAGTTGCTTTCATACAAGGTATTTTAATAATATAATATTTTAATAATATAAGGTAAGGTAAAGGTAAAGCCCTCCCGTTGATCGTCGATTTGCTCGAGCGGGCCCAGTAACATCTCCATTGGAGACTTTGTTGTTACTGTGTCTGGCATATCGAATACTCTCGGTAGCTTGCTGGGCTCTCCGAGAGGGGCGGAGGAATCGAACTTGGGTCGGCCATGTTGGCTGCTTGTAAGGCGAACGCCCTACCCGCTGTGCTATAATAAAATATATTATATTAATATATAATTAATATAATTACAAAAGTTATATTTTATATAAAAATAAGTATTTTCTTTAAAATGCAGAATATCAAGGCAGATGGGGTACTTTACTTTTTAAGGTAAAACACTTCTGAAGTGCTAAAGTGTCTTTTACAGGCCTATATCTTACACTATTTTTTGTAAATCACAGACACTTGTTTTGGTACCCATTAATTAATGTTATTTTTTATCAACAAATAATCAAAATTTTAGCCTTTTCTCAGAGTAGTAACTTTTTGTAAATTAAGATGTTATTAGAAATACTTATTATGTAAATTATGAGTAAAGGGCAAGAATTTTTCACAATTTTTAGTATTTGGGCCACACCTGGTGATGCTCATGGCTTACTCTTGGCTCTTTGCTCAGGAGTCATTCCTGGTAGATCTGGAGGACCATATGGGATGCTGGGAATCAAACCCAGATTGGCAGCATGCAAGCAAGTGCTCAATTCAATATACTATCACACCAGCCTAAGAATAAGCATTTTGGAGGGATTGGACTATACTTGGCTGTGTTCAGGACATCTGACTCTGTGCTCAACGATCACTTCTGGAGGCTCAGAGGATCATATGGGGTGCCAGAGATCTACAACTGGATCAGTCGAATACAAAGCAAACAGCTTACCTGCTATTCATCTCTATGGTCCTGAAATAAATAGTTCATACTTTTTCAATCAAGTGATTCCAACAATTTTGGAATTTCATCATTAAATCTACAGTTAGTCTTTTTATAGACGTCAAAGATAAACTGAATCTTATTATTTATATTTGTACTGCCTTTCTTTATATTTTGTATTCTTTTTCATTTTTAATTTTCACCAAACTAGCTGAAAATCACTCCTAGAAATTTCAAAAATGTTATTATGATTTTAATATATAAAACTTTCTCCTCATTGATACTATATCAAAGATGATATAATAGACCAGTATAAAGGATATTTTGAAAGGAATTTTGAGCAATGGCAACATCGTATACAATTTTTTCAAAATAACTGATCTGATTAAGTTAACTGAATCCTAGTTTTCTAGTAATTTTGAATGAGAAATATCCTGAGACGTCAGAATCTGCTAACATTTCTACAAAGGACTATCTAATATCAAAGAATTCAGCAAAAATTGGGATGAGATAATTTGTACATTTGTAGTTATAAGCAGACAATACACAAAAACACAAAACATCAATGAAACTCCAAAGCAATATTAGCACACTGAAGTCAGAACACCAAACACCCAACATCCCCTTCTCTCACTAGAGATTAAAATATTATATTAATAGATTTTGTTTTGAAATAATTGATACTATTTTAAGTTCATTTGAGTAAAAACCTCATTGATTCTTAAATAAATTTGCCCAGAGTAGAATATATCCCAGAGAGGCAAAAATATATAGTTGAAGTGACATCTGCACTTGTTTGTTCACTGCAGCACTCTTTACAATAGCCAGAGTATGGAAAAAACCTGAGTGCCTGAGAACAAATGACTGGTTAAAGAAACTTTGATACATTTACACAATGGAATACTATGTAGCTGTTAGAAAAGGTGAAGTCATGAAATTTACATACAAGTGGTACTACATGGAAAGTATCATGTTAAGCAAAATGAGTTAGAAAGAGAGGGATAGTCATAGAACGATTGCAGTCATCTGGGGAACATAAAGTTAACAAAATAGGAGACTAGCACCCAAGAGTGGCCAAGATTAGTACCAGTAATTTTGCTCCATAGCTTGGAGGCCAGCTGCACATGCTAGGGAAAAAGGGAGCTCAGATAGAGAAGGGAGCACCAAACAAAGGGTGTTGGGAGGATCCTCCCAGGATGGGAGAAGCATGCTGAAAGTAGACTATAGAACAAACATGATTGCCCCTCAATGCCTCTTTTGCAAACCACAGCACCCAAAAGGAGAGAGAGAGAACAAAAGGGAAATGCCCTGCCACAGCGGCAGGGTGGGACGGGGGTTGGGGGGGGGGGTGGGGATGGGGAGGGAGGTATGCTAGGACCCGTGGTGGGGGAGGATGGGCACTGGTGGAGGGATGGGTACTTGATCATTGTATAACTGAAACCCAAGCACAAAAATTTATAAGTCTATAAGTGTACTTCATGGTGTTTCACTAATAAAAAAAATGATAAAAAAAAAAAAGAAAGTAAAATCTGGGCAAGAAAAAAAGTCAGCAAGAAATGGAAAGGACAAATTCAAGAAACACTGGTCAAGAGAGAAAGGAGATAGGCAACTAGAGCTACAGCTAGAGAAACAGATATAAAATATTGACATCGAGTGGTGAAGAGACTGACAGAGATGGAGAGGACTCTTGGGTTCTTAAATGCACTCTCAGGAGAGGGAGCTTGCTTGATCCTGTAGGGGGCGCAACGTAAGCTGTAAGCAGGAAAGTGGCATAGCCATAGAGGCCTGGTCAGAGAGAGAGAGCAGAAGAGAGGAAACCTCTTTCATTTTCTCCCTCTTTTTATTCTAGTGTAGTAAATGCATTTTGAGAACCTCATAACATCTATTTTTGTGATGAGGCACTGAAGAAGTTGGGAATTTAATGGGCCAAACCACCTATAAATATAGATTGAGACAAAACTAAACATGGGGAGATCAAATTTGGGACATAATACAAGGATAGACAGTAAGTAATGAAGAAGGAAAAGAAATCTGAAAAACTTTCAAATCAACAAGATTTAATGATTGATGGGAAGCTTTGGGTAAAGAAGTTGAATAGAAAGAGGTTCAGATGAATGGATTCATTTTGATGTCACTAAATCCCAAGGGAAATTAAGAGAATAATGTTCTGTGGTTTTAAGGCAGAGATAAGGCACTGAGGCGAGCCTGGGGGTGGGGAAGAAGAAAGGGTAATAAAGGCTTCTCTGGGTGAGATGCTATGGGAATAGAGGTAGCACTGAACACATTAAATCATTCTTTCCCTTATGCTTATGTGGATTAGATTCTACATAAATTCATGACCCTCAGGAGCACTATGACCACCCATGGCACTTTTGGTTTCCTCTAGATCATCGAGTAAACAGAATGATGAAGCTTATTGGCTGGACAGGGATCATTTTGTTAAAATAAAAGATAGAACCCCTCCGAGAGATCCTTCTGAGAACTTAGTTTGGATTTTAAAAATTGTGAACAATTTGTGGATGTATAAAGTATGACTGTAGCATGCAGGGAGAGCCCTTCAAGCTAATGTGTCAATCATGGATGACTTGGGGAGCTGTGTTTGTTACATTTTGAACTTTCTAGATCATGATGTAGCACATAGTCAGATTAAGTCCTGTCTCCTTTGCTAAATACTGTTTTCTTTTTTCTTTTTTTTTCCTTTGCTAAATACTGTTGACACTTGGTGCTGGGTCAGATTTGTACCTCATGTGAGACTATATGGTAATTTGTTCCTTCACACAGTGCAGCAATTATAACAATGATGATGATGATGATGAAGAGGGCATAAGATTTTTATAACAGTTCAACCAGACAATGGAAGTACAGAACTACAGATATAGTATTGGGCCTCACTGGTGGTCAATAAACATCATTATGTGAACACTAATATTACTTATTTGATGCTACTAAAATTGTTGTCTGGATGTAGCTTAGTTGTTGGCTCTGAGGTCCTTTGTAGGAGAATGGAAGATACAGGACAGTGCATCAGAAAGATTTGCTAAGCCATGCTATGGAGTAACATACAGAAGGAAAATGACTGCTTTTGAGAGATGCTTCCTTCAACATGGTTTCTCCCCTACCTGCTGGGAGAAACAGGATCTAGCTGACTGTTCTGTGTAACCAAATGAGGGGCCTTCAAAAACTGCTGTGGGTAATTTGAGGACTTCTCGCAGGAATTGATCATATCGCCCATAAACCATCACTCCACTGGAGTCAGAAATCATTGAGAAAATATCTGTAGAGAGAAAAGGGAAAGATATATATTCATTGTATAAACATTACTCACTGTTTTAGATGGTTCAACAAATAGCTCTGCAAATAACACAAAGTTACAGAATAAATGTATTATTTTTGTGAAAGAATCCAGGCTAATTTTTATGTTGAAATACTCCCGGCATGGTGTTTTCTCTGTGTTTTTGTAGACAATTACAGAACATGGCATTAATTAGTAACTTGAGTAAAATTAGTATTTTTTAATAAAAGAGAACATCACATATTTTTCTGAGAACAATTATCAACACGTATGCAACTCACTAGAAGAATTTTTCTAAGTGTGAGAAATATTCTGCTATTATTTAAAAACAAAACATTTAGTACAAAATAGAATTTAATATCTACATATCATCACTAACACTTTTTTTGAAATGATAAAAGTTTATTGGAAAGCAGAAGAGAAAGAAAAAGGAACTCCCTATGTAGGAAGGAACGTAGCACAGGATTAAGTTCTATCACTGACATTTCTGGGTTTTGGTTTAAGATACTGAAAAATGAAAGACGGTGGCGATAAGGATGTCATAAAAACATTTGATTGACTTTCCACAGAAGCAGAAAAATTTCTAAAAACCATAATGCTTTCTGTAGATGGAGCCGATTTACAGGGAGGGTTCTTTTGACTGATACAGAGAAGAGGAAGCGTGACCTCGTGGATGATCAATGAGGTAAAGTCAGGATTTCAGATTATTCTTAGAGACTGTGGGTGTCACTGAACCTCTAATCTTCAGATTCTGCCACTATGTGTACTTAATGAATATTGATGTCATAATTTCCTAAGGAATTTATAATTCCTTTGTGAAAATCACTTTTTGAACCTGGGGCTTTGCTATTTAGTCCCCCATGCTAGAATGTAGCCAGGCCAGCTTAACTGCTGGGATAAACTTCTGTACATTCAATATGCTGCCTTGTTCATTTGAGGCTTAATTTTCAAGGTCAAAATGTAATCTGGGATATTGTTTTTACACTGCAGCCAAATGTGAAGCATATTACAGGTCTTTATTGGATTACTCTTTAAGAATGTGAATTGGCTTGTATTTCTTCAAATACTGCAGTTACAAAGAATTTATGCTTTGCTTCAGCTTATTCATTATTAAGCTATAGAAATTTTACCAGAAGAGCAAAATCAATGTTGTTTTCATGCATCTTCACAATGTTCACTTAGTAAACTTTATCTCATATTTTATTATAACTGGTCAAAATATTAGGTTGTTAACAGCAAAAGAAAAATGAGTAACAGAAAAAATTACTGTAAAGTAAGTAAAGTAAAGGCCCTCCCGTTGATCGTCGATTTGCTCCAGCGGGCCCAGTAACGTCTCCATTGGAGACTTTGTTGTTACTGTGTTTGGCATATCGAATACCCTCGGTAGCTTGCCGGGCTCTCCGAGAGGGGCGGAGGAATCAAACTCCGGTTGGCCATATTGGCTGCGTGCAAGGCAGACGCCCTACCTGCTGTGCTATCGCTCCAGCCACTGGTAGAAGACTAATGGAACTTTGGGGGTGGGGTGGGGTTAGATACATTGTAACCCTAAAACTTATAAACATTTTCACTCTTAGAAGTCAATCTTACCTAAAAATAGTTCCAATCAAAAAGGGGAAAATAAATTTAGGAAAACTAATTGACTTTTAAAATAGAATTGCTATCTTGTTTGACTTTAGCAGGTTGATGAACTATAATCTGATCATCTTCTAAACTTGGATTTGCTAGACCAGGGTATATTTGAAAAGCAGGCAGTCTTCTCAAATCTCCTGTCAAAGAATTCAGATAACATCTCCAGAGCAAAAGTAGGAGTACCTAGAGCAGTCTTCCCCAAACCGGAAGCTTCTTTGTGGTGAAGTTCTGCTAACCAAGAGTTCATTTAGGACTGAGTCCCCAAAATTAAAGGGAATTGGCTTTTAATAAGCACCCAGGGTCTAAGAAAAAAAAGGATGGGGCTCTGAGAAATTTTTCCTAAAAGTATGTGTTTATTTAAATCTCAGTTCTGGGTTCTCTGTTCTATATTCTTGTATATTCAAGTAATACACATACATGCACATATATATAATTATATGCATATGCTTATAAATATAAATACAATTTATGTATGTAAATAAGGGGTCAATTTAAAGATGAGACTATTTGAGATAAAAAAAGTACAGAGATAGAATGCATTTCAGACAGACCTAGTATATAATATAGAAATGTTAGCTATTTTTACTATAATTGTTTTGCTATTTATTTCATATTATACTTCTAGTCACTTATATATTTATGTGCTGCCTCCCTCATGGGATGTTCTACATAGTTTCGAATCCTATTCTAAAATACCTTTGCATTTCCTAGAGTATCGCATGGTGATAAACACTTTGCAAGAATTTATATTGTGTGGGCTAAAGCGATAATACAGTGGGTAGGGCATTTGCGGGGCATAGGGCTGATCCTGGTTTAATCCGTGGCATCCCTTGAGTTCGCCAGAAGTGATCCCTGAGTACAGAACCAGGAATGAGCCCTGAGCATCGCTGTGTGTCACCCCCAAACCAAAAATGAAACAAAACAAAATAAAAAAATTAATATTGTCATTCATTGGTTCCTTCAATTAAAATGAACTTAGATTACACTATCTTGTGTGTACTCTTGTATTTTGTAATCAACATTCATAAAAATCAGGGCATTTTTCTTGTCCTTTGTGAGGTACCGGTCTATTGATCGTGATAAGAGACACACATACATCATGCTTACATAGAACATATGGCACAATGCAGTGGTGTGAATATGAGAACCATGGAGTATATAGGATGCAGCAGATCAGAGGGTTCCCAGAGGAAGAGTAGGTCAGAAATTTCTTTCCATAGTTGGCTTCTAGGCCAAGTATGAAGGAAAATGTGGGGAGGAGTTGGTCAGAAATTAGAAAACAGACCAGGACATACAGAGATACAGAGATAAGCCCCAGAGTGATACACTCAAGGGTTTTCAACTGGTTCCCTGTTCCAGGGACTTTGGGTGCACATGAGAGCACGGCAGAAGGTGAGACAGGGATGAAGATCTTTGAAAGCTTCACTGAGGAATTTATATGATGTCTGAAGGAGGTTAGGAGACACTGAAAAGTAAAGGCAGATGAGTGACTTAAAACATTACCCAGGGGAGTAGGCACGGAGGAAGATACTGACAGAAGTAGTTCAGAGGAATTCCGCAAACACCTGGTGTTTGCCATAGTGCTAGTCTCTTAAACTAAGTGAACAAACCATTTCCAGCAGCTTTTGAACAACATGTGACATTCCAGGATTATGGCACTGGATTCAGAATTTATTAAGATCTGTAGAACTTTCCAGGAGACAGGTGGATGTATAAATAAGTATTCAAGCCATTAAAACGTAACTTATCATAACTCCAAAAGCAATTTGACCAGAAGGACTACATCAGCTCAAGATAGAATTAGGGATGTGTCCTATAGGTGAGGGGTCATCCCTACGGCCTAGCTTGTGTTGATAGGGAACACACGTGGGGATACAGTATCTGCCAGGAGATCCTAGTGGCTCTGATCGTTGTGACTCATGTGACTTCCTTTAATTATTGAACTTTCACGGTCCTCCCGTTGTTCATCGATTTGCTCGAGCGGGCCCAGTAATGTCTCCTTTGTGAGGCTTGTTGTTACTGTGTTTGGCATATTGAATACGTCACGGGTAGCTTGCCAGGCTCTGCCGTGTGGGCGGCATACTCTTGGTAGCTTGCCGGGCTCTCTGAGAGGGGCGGAGGAATCGAACTCGGTTGGGCCATGTTGGCTGCGTGCAAGGCAAACGCCCTACCAGCTGTGCTATTGCTCCGGCCTCTAATAATTATAGTTCCGGCCCCTAATTATTGAAAATTTTGGTAAAATATAGGATTGCTATCCCCACTGATGGATATTTTTTGAGTCTTTTTGGGTCATACTCAGTGATGCTCAGGGGTTCCTCCTGGCTCTGCACTCAGGAATTACTACTGGTGGTGTTCAGGGAACTATATGGGATGCTGGGGATGGAACTTGGGTCAGCTGTGTACGAGGCAAACACCCTACCCACTGTACTATAGCTCTGGCCTCAATAAATTTTTTTAAAAAAAATTAGAATTTTGGGGCTGGTACCGTAGCACAGTGAGTAAGGCATTTGCCTTGCACGCGGCCGAAACGGGTTCAGTTCCCAGCATCCCATATGGTCCCCTGAGCACCGCCAGGGGTAATTTCTGAGTGCAGAGCTAGCAGTAACCCCTGAGCATCACTGGGTGTGACCCAAAAAGGCAAAAAAATTAGAATTTTATTTTAATAAAGTTGTTCACAATAATTTATTACATTCAATATTCCAATACCAACCCTACCTCCATTATATCTTCCAGCATCATTATTTCCAATTTTCCCAACCACCACTCAAGCCTGACCCAACAGCAAGCCCTAAATAATTTAATTTGTATTTCTTGTTATTAATAACTCACCAAAAATGATCAAAAATGATATTCTTAGAAATATTAATTGATTTTGGAGCGATAGCACAGCGGGTAGGGCGTTCGCCTTACAAGCGGCCAACATGGCCGACCCGAGTTCGATTCCTCCGCCCCTCTCGGAGATCCCAGCAAGCTACCGAGAGTATTCGATATGCCAGACACAGTAACAACAAAGTCTCCAATGGAGACGTTACTGGGCCCGCTCGAGCAAAAAAGCTAGCTTTAACTTTTAAAATTAATTTACAGGGCCAAATATGTGTCTCAGTGGTAGGGTTTTGAATGATAGAGTCTTGCATGAGAGAGGTCCTTATTTGATCCCTGGAGCTGCAAAAATAATAATCTTAAACTAAAAATTTAAAGTACATGAAATTCTAACTTATTTTCAGCCAATTATTCTTGTTCTATCAACAAAAATTAAGGTGCTAGTTGGAATTAACTAAATATCCATCATATGCCTAACAGCAGGAAAAATTGCAAAGAAAACCTGACTAGTATAGTGACTTAGAATGAATTTGAAAACCTTAATGGAAACACAAAGCCTTCAAACCTTGAGAAATTCATTATCCTTTCACTTTATTATTATTATTATTATTACTATTATGCACTACAGTCATAATAAAAATGATCTCTCCCTTGCCTGCTTTAGCATTAAATACAAGCCAGTGAAAAAAGACTATGGAAACACCTGAAATCCTGTTCAAGAACCAGCTATTGCTTCTAGTGGTCAGACTAGTCCATATTTGTTCATTCCATCCATAGTTATCAATGCTAGGGGTGGCCTTGGTGGCCTCTGAACACAGGAAGTATGTTGCCAATGGTGACCAGCAAGGCAGGGCCTGAGAAGCACTGCATCATGGGCCCAAGCACTAAAGCATCCAGCCTTGCTGGCAGTGTGTTTCCAGAAGCGGCCCTGAGGTCCTCTGAGCACTACTTGTGAACACCCTCCTGCCCCCCAATAAAAAAGAACCTGGCTCATAAAAGATTGTGAAAGGTTCTAAAGTACAGAAAACAGATTTAGTCTTCAGATCTATTTAGTATGAAGGCCTTTCTTTTATCCAGACAAATATTTGGAAATGTTTCTTATGACCTTAAAAAATTGTCCAGTAAAATTATTTATCTAGTTTAGCTAATCATCTAATATTCTTGGTCTAAGTGGTCAGTTGTGAGTGAAGGCCAGCCGGTAAGGTCCCTATTGTTTCTTTCTCTGTCATGACTAATTTTACTAAACTTTCTCCTCTGAGCCGAACACTGGCAGAAATGCCTCCTGGATTACTCTAAACGATTTTTTGTTTTTTGATTTTAATAAAAGGATATTGGTTCCGCCACCTTCTAATTTTGCTATTATCTCTCAATTGAGCCTTGAGGTAGAAAGTTTTTAATTTTCCACATCGTTGAGGCTAAATAAAAAGAAAGTAAACCAACTGTCATAACGTCCACTTGGGTTTCTCTGACTCCTGAATACATTTGGCAGTTTCAGCTTTCCAGGGGTTCCCAAAGTGAGGGCTACTGTGTGCTTATGGGGACTTCTCTGTACCTTTCATTTTTCTACAGGTTCAATGATGTGAATCTCCTTAGTGCATGTTTGGGGACATTCTAAGGGAATAAAGGTTCTCTCTCTCTTAAATATCTTTCTCTCTCTCCTCTCTCTCTCTCTCTCTCTCTCTCTCTCTCTCTCTCACACACACACACACACAGACACACACACACACACACAATTTCCAGCCTCCTATATTTTCCTTTTTTTTTTTAAACCCAGATCGTGCAACAAGAGTCAAGATGTCTCCCCTTGGAAACTCACACACAGACACATCAGGAGAGAAAACGAGCTGTGCTCATAGATGGCTGCAGCCAAGAGGAACCCCAATAAAATTTCCAAATTTGAGATGGAGAAGGAAACCCAAGATCACTTCCAGAGGAAAATATGGGAAAGGAGTCATGCAGCTGGGCTGAGTACCTGAAACCCTCAAATGTCCCTGACAATGCTTTCTCATTCAGCATTATTACCAAAATACATAATACAGAGAGCAAGGGAGAAGATTCAATACTTAATCCCTCCCACCATCTCCCCTTTTAAAATAGCAGCCAGGAGCCAGGGAGATAGCTAAGTCAGTGGTAGAATACTTGCCTTGCATGAGCGATGTTTTGATTTTGATTTCCGGCACCACAAAAAAAACAAAATGAAACAAAACATAAGAAACAAAAACAAAAACCATAAGACGTACATCATTTTGATCTTGTTAGAAATGAAAACCTCTTACCCCGCTATCTCCATCCTAATGAGAATTTAGAATCCTCATTCTAATCCAGAATTTCTACTGAATCAGAAGTTCTGAGCATGGGCACCAGATGCCTATGTTTGAAAAAGTCCTTGTGGTGATTCTATACATACTGAGAACCACTGCTGTCAAGAACTGCTGGTATACTGGCACCCTTCTCACAATGTGATTACTTTAACTCTCTTAGTCTCAGCTTCTTTTGCTAAAATAAACACCCATATCTCTGTCACTGTTGAGGGGTTGGTTGTGCCACTGGGAATGACACCCAGGAATGTCAGGAATTATATGTGGCAATGTGGGGAGTTGCAGAGATCAAGCTTGGGTGTTTCGTGCATGCAAGGAAAGTGATCGACCACTGAACCATAGCCCTGAGCCTGAAACTTCCTTGTTTCTCTCTAGTTAAAAAAACAGTATCAGAATTATTATAGCAGGTAGGGTATTTTGTTCCCCCCCAGAAACTGACATAGAGACACAGCAGGAGAGAAAAAGGGCTGTGATTACAGATGGTTGCAGCCAGGAAGAACCCCAATAAAATTTCCAAATTTGAGATGAAGAAGGAAACCTAAGATCATTTCCTTAGAAAAACACAGCAAATGAATCATGCAGCTGGGCTGAGGACCTGAACCCCCTCCCCCCTCCCCAAATGTGGCTGATCCAGGTTCGATGCACAGCATCCCAGATGGTCCCCCCCGAGCACTGCCAGGAGTAATTCTTGAATGCAGAGCCAGAAAAAAACAAGAAAACAAACAAACAAAAACCCTGAGCATCAAGGAGTGTGACCCAAAATCAAAACAAGAGAAAAAACAAAGACCCCCCCCGAAACAAAAATAAAACTATCACATTCAATGACAAAATGACAATAAAAGGTCCACAATCATTCAGTCTGCTTTGATGACGATGCTTTCAGTAGCATCTAAGGTAATTCTCCATCTCCTGAGTCTTTGTGCTCACATGTAAAGTGGATTTTGGAACATTCAACATTCCCAGGGATTTGAATAGCACCGAGAAGAAGGGAGGAATGTGCCAGGAACTCTGACTTCAAATTCCCTAAAATAAAGAAGGTTGTCTAACATATCTGTCGTGCTCCTATGATGATGGATACAAGGTGTGGAATGTTGTAAAGATCCATGAACTTGAAAGAATGCTTATCTCATCAATATCACAGAGTCTAGTTGATGATACTCAACAGGCTAGACATAATCATAATTCAAAGTCACTTCATTAACATTTCTTATGAAAATATTTCTATGACAAAATCCGAAGATCAATGAAGATTGTTCTTCGAAAGATTCATATGCAGCAAGGAAAAGACACACCTGGGCAGGGGCTACCACAGGGATGGGGGGGGGGGGGAGAAAATCTGGCACACGGGAAAGACAAACACAGAGGGATCCAGAGAAATAACTTACATCTTAATTTGTCCATGATCTTCCCTCCACACAAGGTGGCTAAAGCCATTTTGACAGCAAATACTGAAATTTTACCATGGCCTTCCCTGTTCAATAGTAAGAGGGGAGAAAAAAAGAGACAATGTCACTTGGAGAACCTTCAATAATGAGGTCTGACATTTTTTGTTCTGTAAAATCATAGGACAATGTAACTTCAGGCATTATGTGAATGCATCCAATTTGGAAAAGGTTATGAATACAATTTAACACACATTTCTGAAAAAAAAAACCCGTCAATTCCTTTTCTTTTTAAGGAATAGCAGACTCTTCAAGTTTTTCTCTGAATATGTCACGAGCTCAAAGTGAGCACTGGAATATGTCTACATAACTGAGGATTTAAATTACAGAACCTGGTTTTCTATAATTTAACTTTGGACTTCATAAAATAATTTTATGCACAATGATTCCACAGTCTCCATACTTTATTTAAATAAAGCTTCAGAAAAAAATTGTTTTTGTCTGATGATCCCTGAATTTGGTCAAAATTACAAAGATTTTTTTTTATCATACCCCTACCACATTTATTGAGGTACATGATTTTCAATACTGCTAATGCATACATAATTTCAATATCATTATCTGACTTTTTTTTCAAACATTTCTTTCCACAAGTCAACTGTACTTGTGTGATACATTTAATTTTCAAAAGGAATATTAAAAGGACAAAAGAACTCCATTTGAATAGTTTTCTTTACTTCAATTATACAAGAACTGCCAAATCTTCCTTGAGTCAGGAAGTATAACTAACTTGTCCTCCACACTATATAATAAAAAGGCATTAAATATTTCAGCTAAATGATTTTCTAACTGGAATAAACTGTCTGTTCTTATGCCTTTGGAATCAGAAAGCATATCAATGTGTAATTAATTTCTATACTGGTTACTACTATTAAGAATTATCAAAGGAATTACTGAAAATAATGGTGTGGCAGAAAGACAAGTAAAGTCCATTTGGCAATGGTGTAATATATCCATTGAATCATTTATGTGAATAATCCCATATATCTGATTAAATATGCATATATATCATCACACCAGATGAGAGAGGACAAAACAAAGTCAGAACTCTATCCCTCTGAAGAAAATATTAGAAGATTAAAATATAGTAAGTAATTATATTTGTTTTCACCAGACTTCAGAGAGAAAGAGAACGTTAATATTTATATTAGCATAATGTCTGAAACATAGATAGCCAGAGTGAAAATGTGACCAAATCCAATGCTAGTAGATTTTCTGTTTATATTTTTTCTTTTCTTTTTTTATTGAATCACCATGAGATACAGTTACAAAGCTTTCATGTTCGAGTTTCAGTCATACAATGATTGAACACCTATCCCTCCACCAGTGCACATCTTCCACCACCAATGTCCCCAGTATCCTCCCCCCCATTCCACTCCTCCCCCTGCCTCTATGGCAGACAATATCCCCCATACTTGTTCAATTCTATTTTTAGGCCTGAGAAGATGAAATATAATTAATCATTGAAAAATGATACTTGGACACCTCATGTCAGATCTAATAGGTTTAAACAGAACTCATTGTTATCACAAATCATCTCAGTCCCACCTTCATGCTAACCGCTCTTTCCTCCTACAGTCCTGGGTATGGTTTTCAGAATCACCATGTACTTACCAGAAAAGAACCTTGGGGTGGGGAATTGTTTTTCCTCAACTCATTAACAGCCCCAACAAATGTTTGAGAGACGGAAATATCCCACAAAGTGTACATTGCACCAAATCCCTTCATCCCATTCCCCTACTGCCCTTGTTTGCATCAGCCCTTGCTTTCACATGGCAATAAGCTCTGAGACGATCTCTCTGTTTGTACACTTACATTATACATTTGACCATATTATTTTGTTACTTAAAACCCCATGTCCTCCTCCTCCTCCTCCTTTCTTCGAAGGGATTTAGTTCTAACTTGATCTCTTTTCTCCCATCTCATCTGTGACCAGTTCTGCTACTACCCTGCTCTGTCACTCGTTCCATCATGTATGCCCAGGCCTCTCCGACTGATTAGATTAGATGCAAATATGAAGCTCCCCAGCTTTATTACTCTGTTCTCAAAACAGTTTCCCTCTGAATGTGAAGGTAACCCCTGCTCACTTTACATTTACCTATTATTTTATACCAATCACACTAGGAGATTTTGATTTATTTGTAGGTATATAAGCAATCTGACTCTGAACTGTGAGATCTTCGGGACAGAGACTTCTGGCTGGTAAATAAGCTGAATGCCTAGAACCTGCATTTTGTCTAAACAATACATTTTTTAATATTAAGGACAAATGTTAAGGTCCACTCATTAAGCCCTTTACTGATTTTAGAGTAGGTAGCTATAATAAAAACACAATGATTTATGATGAAAATGATTATATTCAAAATTCCCTGCATTCTCAATTACATGGATAACTGAAAGTATTATCCTTTTTACTAAAAGAAATAAATATATTTTCTTATGCTGAAACACGGTCGAAATAAAATGACACAAAACATGGAAAAATTTGAATAAGACATTAATCAGTCAAAATGCCCAAAAAAGAAATTGAAATGGAATAATGTTAAACCTCCAAAGCAATACAAGTTTCTTTTAATGAATCAGAGAGAATAATTTCACTCATAAAAGGGAACAGATCACAGATGACACTAGAATACAGTGTTTCTCCAAAGAATGAAATGATTATAGCTTATGGGTAAATCCATAAGCCTTAGCTTTTAATGAAGAAGATCAGAGGGAAACAGCCAGTCTTGGATTGTTCCTAGAAACTCAAGATGAATGATATTAAATCCAACAGTGGTTGTATCAGAGCTATTCTGCCAAATTGACACAATAAATCTAGATAAATCGCCAGTGGAGGGCAGCTCAATGAGAGTTTTGCAGGAATTCAAGTGTGAAATTAGTCCACTGGAATCTATTGGCATGCAAGCTACTGTGCCAGATTGCAAATGTGACCCCTATCACCGAGAAGGAGTCAAGGGGTGTGCAGGAGCGTCCATATGGGCTGAGCCCAGGTCTTGTTCACCTCGAATCTACCCCTCGCCCCCATGACAATGGATATGAGGAGTGTAAGTAATTATCATAGCTGACTGACTCCACAACAGAGAATGCGGATACCAAAGAACTGAATCACATGAATTATCTTTTAGAACATTTCCTGTACCTAGAATAGGATGAACAAAGGTGGGAAGAGAAGATTTTGTCTTTGTTGTTGTTGTTGTTGTTTTAGACCTTTAATAAGATTTCATACAAAAGTTGATTTTGGGGAGGAAGCTAGGGATTAGAGTACCTATTTTATAGGGATTTACATCGACACAGGAAATAAGGAATAGGGAGAAATCAGTACACCTTAGATGGAGAAATGTTCAGTTCTCTGCTCATTCAGAATCATGCCTGGCTGAGGCCAGTTTGATTCACAGCCATCTGCAAGGACCTCAGGGTAGAAGCCAAGTTCCCGGGAGACTTGTGTCCACAAGCAGGAAAGCGACATATTGTTCCAAAGTGAGTCTGCCCAGGAAGTGCCTCTGGAGGAAAGTGGTAAAACCGCACATATGGAATGCTGGCTGCCAGCCACAATCCAGGAAGCGGACCTGCCAGGGTGCGGGGGATGAAAACACGGGTTGTTTGTAGTGCTGCAGGTGAAACAGCCTCAGATGGACCAGGCCAGGAGGGACAACTCTCTTTCTTTATAAAGGTGATGGTAACATACCTTCAGTTTCATGTACAAGCCTGGTCATTGTCTCAAGAAAGACCTAAACCCATCTCTCTTCTCGGAGATGGGGTGGGCCTTAGAATCATAATCAATGAATACAAACACACAAGCTTTCCTTTGTGAATAAAACCTTCTAGTGCAGTTGGTTCTTCAGTAGAGTAAAGGCACTTCCTTCCTCCGAGATGAAATTTCTACTTAACCTTATCATTTTCTTTTGGAAGAATAATTTCATCTTCAAAGTAAAAGAAAATTTTATTTAATTTTTTCCCCTTTCAATGTAGAGTGAAAATGCATTGCACCAGACACTCTATTCATTTCTCTACTATATGTATTTCTCTACTATATGTATAATGGCATAATGAAATCTATTCTATTTTTTGAAGCCAATTCTCTGAAGCTTGTGCCTGGGAAAATTTTACTATTCTGTTCTAGCTTGATATCACAAAGTACCCAGTAAAACTGCTAATATTGGATGGACCAGCCAGTACAATGGCTAGGGAATTTGTTTTACATGTGGTGAACCTGGGTTCAATCCCTAGCACCCCATATGGTTCCCTGAGCACCGCCAGGTGTGATCCCTAAGTGAAGAGCATGAGTAAATCCTGAGCATCGCCAGGTGAGGTCCAAAAACCGAAAGAAAAAAAAAGTTAAACCGTCATTTAATACCTAAACAGAACATTTCCTGTACCTAGAATAGGATGAACAAAGGTGGAAAGAGAAGATTTTTTTAAGACCTTTAATAAAATTTCATACAAAAGTTGATATTTGGGGTGAAGCTAGGAATTAGAGTACCTATTTTATAGTTTAATAAAGAATTGACATTGATACAGGAAATAAGGAATAGGGAGAAATCGGTACATCTTAAATGGAGAAATGTTCAGTAGAAAACCAGGAAATGATCAAATGATACAAACTAAAACTGCTTCAAAGTTTACCTTCTTGGGGTGTGTGGTAGTAGAGCAGACAGGGCACATGTCTAGCGTATGCTAGATGCCCAGTTCGATTCTAGGCAGCCCGTGGATCCTGAACATTGTGTGGTGCAGCCCTTGGGGTTTTCAACACTGCCAGATGATGCAGGTACCCCTGCACCTTAGGGCACTAGCAGCACTGCATTAACAGGTCCTGGTACTAAACTGATGGTCGGCTGGCGAAGAATTTCTAGGGACTCTGGACCTCCTGAAAATCATTTAGGAATGCCAAGTCCTGTTCTTTCCACCCCAGCCCGCAAACAAAAAAATCAAGAAAATCAAATTTTCTATTTTGTCCTTTCTCCTTCAAAGTATGGCACATCATAATAAAAACAAAGTAGCAGGTTTACACTAAGCTGAGTTTTCTATG